CTCAGCTCCAGTTGTGAGGCTGAGATCTACGCAACAGCCATGGCTGCACAGGAGCTGCGCTGGCTGACTTTCCTGCTGACCGACTTGGGAGAGCGGCCTCCTTGGAGTAGCTGCCTTCGTCCACGTGTGCCTCTCACCTCACAGCAGCTGCACAACTGGTACGGTCGCCGTCAGGGTCGCGCTTCAAGAGCTCGGGGCTCTTCCGCTGGAGTTGTTTCTGCTGTCGTCACTAGGAGCAGGGAGTGGTGCTGGTCCCGAAGGTGCTCGTACTGGAGGTACTGGAGCTGCTGGGGCTGGAGGTGCTGCTGAGCCTGAGGGTGCTGCTGCTGGAGACCCAGGGTCTGGGGGTGCTGCTGCTGGAGACACTGAGGCTGGAGACCCTGGGACTGGAGGTGCTGGTTCTGGGGGTGCTGCTGCTGGTGGCGCTGGTCCTGGAGGAGCTGGCGCTGAGGGTTCTGGAGCTACTGGAGGTGGTGGAGCTGCTGGGGGTGCTGGAGCTGCTGGTGCTGGTGGCACTGCACAGCCACGCCTATTCTTCGCTCCACCGTCTCCGTCGTCTCAGCCACCACCTGACTCAGTGCTTCGCCAGGTTCTTAGTCTCCCTTCATCTACTGGTCTTCCGTTACAGCCTGGCTCACCGCTGCCTTCTCCTTCTCCTTACACTGAGCAGACAGGGGGTTTTACTGAGCGTCGTGAGCCCGCGTTTCGTCTTGTCTCGCCTCTCTGTTCTAGTAGTTCTGGTCGTCGTGTTCCTCGTTCCGTCAGCCGACTGTCCCCGTCACCCACCTCGTAGTTCGTTGTCTTTCCTCTCCTCCGCAGCGTGTCCCCCTGCCGTCCCCTCCTGCGTCTTCTCTGCCTACCGTTCCGGAGCCTGAGTCTGACCGCACCCGTGCTGCTCACCCTACTGTCACGCGTCTGCTAGCCACAAGTTGTCATTGACCCGTCGTTTGAGTCTGCTGCTGCGTCTGCCTTTGTTGCTGAGCTTGTTGACTTTGCTGCTACCTGTCTTCTAGACTACGCCGCTAGTCTTGTTGCTCAGTCTGAGTCTATCTTTCCTCCCTCCGTCGCGGGTGAGTGTGCTCTTGGCACGGACGTCCTTGAGGACAGGCAGGAGGACCTTGAGTGTCTTGTAGCCGCTGCGCCTCACCTCGTGTCCATGCTGCTTGCCCCTGAGGGAGACCCGGATGCTCCAGACATCCCAACCCCGCGCTCTTACGCTGAGGCGATCGCGGGTGAGTACTCCTCTCAGTGGCAGACAGCCATGGACGCAGAGATGGCATCCTGGAAGTCCACAGGCACTTACGTTGACCAGGTCCCCCCTCCTGGGGCGAACATCGTTAGTGGCATGTGGATTTTCAGGGTGAAGCGGCTGCCAGGTTCTCCGCCTGTATTCAAGGCTCGTTACATTGCTCGAGGTTTCAGTCAGCGAGAGGGAGCTGACTTCTTTCAGACCTTCTTCCCCCCCCCCCCCCCCGAAGATGACCACTCTTCGGGTGCTGCTGCACGTTGCCGCTCAGCGTGACTACGAGCTTCACTCTCTTGACTTCAGCACAGCTTTCTTACAGGGCAGCCTGAACGAGGAGATCTGGCTGCGCCGCCCTCTTGGCTTCACTGGGTCGTTCCCTCCTGGTACCCAGTGGAGCCTCCAGCGGCCAGTCTACGGTCTCCGCCAGGCACCACGTGAGTGGCACGACACACTTAGGACTACACTTCCGGCTCTTGGGTTAACTCTGTCGACTGCTGACCCGTCGCTGTTTTCTGCGCACCGACACGTCGCTGCCGCCGTTCTACATCCTCGTGTACGTGGACGACTTAATCTTTGCCACTGCTGACACTGAGGCTCTCGCCCTGGTGAAGTCGGAGCTGCAGAAGAGACACACGTGCACAGACCTTGGGTGAACTACGCAGCTACCTTGGCTTGAAGATCACCCGGGACAGAGCATGCCGCACCATCACACTGACTCAGTCACACATGGTGCAGCAGGTCCTTCAGCGCTTCGGCTTCACCTGGTCCTCGCCACAGCACACTCCTCTAGCTACAGGCCACTCGCTGTCAGCTCCACCTTCGGGCGAGTCCGTAGAGCCGAGTGGCCCGTACCCAGAGCTAGTAGGCTGCCTCATGTACCTCATGACCTGCACTCGATCTGACCTTGCGTACCCTCTTGGCCTTCTAGCTCGCTACGTGGCTCCTGGTAGGCACAGACTAGAGCACATGGCTGCTAAGAGGGTACTGCGCTACTTGTGCAGTACATCGAGCATGGGGCTCGTGCTTGGAGGGCGGAGCCCAGTTGTCCTCACTGGGCACTCGGACACTTCTTGGGTTGACGACCTAGCTACGCAGCGATCGTCACAGGGTTACACCTTCAGCCTTGGCTCTGGTTCAGTTTCTTGGCGTTCTACACGCTCGTCTTCTATTCTCAACTCCAGTTGTGAGGCTGAGATCTACTCTACAGCCATGGCTGCACAAGAGTTACGCTGGCTCACCTACCTGCTGACCGACTTGGGAGAGCGGCCTCGTTCTCCTCCAGTGCTGTACGTTGACAACAAGGCCGTCATTGCCTTGTGTCAGGAGCACAGACTGGAGCACAGAACGAAGCACATTGCTCTGCGTTACTTCCTCGCTCGAGAGTTGCAGCAGCGTGGTCAGCTTCATCTTGCTCACGTGGCCACTCGGGCCAAGACTGCTGATATATTCACCAAGGCACTTCCGTCTGGTGATCATTAGCGTTTCTGCACTTTGTTAGGCCTTGTGCCCACGTTTCCTCACTTGTTGTAGACTTTGCTTGTACTGTGATCTATATATACCTACATGCATGCTCTGCTACGGTAGAGATCACTGTGCTGTTGTTGTTGCATATATACCTCCTGCATGTGAACTGGCCTTGTGGCCCTCTGCTTGTGCTCAGTGTGTGTGGTGACGTTGTGATCCACCCTGAGCTTGCTTTGCTTCTCTTGACTGGTCTTGTGACCCCTTGTTCTACCCCACTTTGCCTATGGGGGTGTGTCAAACGTTATATCTACTTTACATATTTAGGCTGTAGTGGGGTAGCCAATATGGGGTACAGCCCACTTTAGGATTTCATATTTGTACCCAACTCTTCCATAGTTCAATCATTCCTGCTGCTAAATTCTAACACGCGCTTCGATACTTCTTCGTCAAGGACGAAATGGACCAGGGCAAAGGTTGACCTGACGTACTGCCCACCACTGAGATGGCAGCAGACTTTCTCACCAAGAGGTTGCCACGTCAGCAGTACCAGCACTGCTCCAACCTCACCGGAGCGTTTAAGCCAGTCAGCTCCCGATACCCCCAGGAATGAAGGGGGGTGTTGAGATATGAAGTTAAATGAGAAGGCATTCCTATACGCTGCAGGAACCGACTCTACTGAGTATGAAGTCGAAGAGCGAGAAGAGTCGAAGCAACATCAGCAAACATTTGAAGTGCAATTGGTGGGAACAAGTTTAAAACGAATTCCTGCGCCGCACTTCTTTGAATACCGCTGCAATATGATAATGCACCCCTTAGAGTACATGGCTACCTAGGTAGTTTCGCATTCCTTTGTATCATCTATAGGAACCTATGTGTGCACCCATAAGAATAATCTCAGCCATTTTGCATTCACCCTGACCTGAGGTTAACACTTCCGCTGCAATATCACCTTTAATCAACCTTGAGCCGATCCTTAACTACCGTATGTCCCGTTTAAGTTTCTAACCTTCCACTTGTTCTGGCTAATGAAGATTCTTACTGCTCCCCATGAGTACCGTGCTTCGACGTTCTCGAACATACTCTGTCTACATTACGACTTGGCTTAGAAGCATCATCTGAGGCATCTGCAGTCGGTGAGTCGCAACAGTCCTACCGGCGGTATCGTTAAACAGGACAAGGGAATAAGTGAATGTATCCCTCGGAACACATGGCTAGCTAGGTTTATATTAACCAAACGTATGGAATGCTTTAATATTCTTTATATTTACGTTCACTATGATAAGGTCATTCAAAGACTTCCGCTGTCTTACCCAAAGGCCCTTATCATGTCCAAACGTTCCCCGGGTTATCACAACATAGGGTACTCAAAAGGTCAGTGGTATCTCTCATTCATCGTGGAGCTTCATTTTACCTAGCAGCAGTTGAAATCCGGTTTCCTAAATTCACATGTTTGAGCACTTCCGTCTTCACCTAGTTTCTATCGCGCTATGACGAGCACTTCCCGTAAGGCGTACGTGCTCCCCGAGACACACCTGCCTGGGCTGGTCAAAACCTGCTTTCCCGCATCCAGCGCAGCCAGTATTCCCTCATCCCACCCGCGCACTTGCCTCTTCCCGCCATAAGTTTTCCACGGGGAGTTAGCTGTGTCGGGTATTATCTGTGATATATCAGCAATCGTCAAGGCCAGTGATTACTAGTCAGTAGTACTGACTAAGGCTCCTCATCTGTCGGTAGCTTCCGTACCGCATTTCAAATTCACGAAATGTATCGAAATTGATCGCTGGCAAGGCGATTCGGCGTCGAATCACGTTCGTCCATATTCAATCTTCTATAAAAAGCAGAGGCGTGATGGATTCTCTCGTAAATCACTCGAACTGGCTAGTGACAGCTTTTACTGCTTCCCTTGAGTACCGTGCTTCGGCGCTCTCGAATATACTCTGTGGACATTTCGACTTCGGCTAGAATCAGCATCTGAGACGCTACGATCCCATATTCCGCTCTCCAATCGGTTGCTTGCTGCCCTCCGCTCTCACCTTGGAGCTTTCGCGTTCATCGACTTCACGCCACGCTGCGTCATGGCTTCCACGCGGCGCTTCCTGCTTCTCGCGCTGCTTGCGCTCGTCGCCACGGCCAGTGAGTCGCGTTCTCTCGTTACTTCCCAGGGTCCCTTTCGTCTCGTCATGCTTGTCAATCGTCTCGAGGTCCGTTCCGTCAACTCTGCGAATCCTCGCAGCATCTTTGTCGATTCTTGGCTCGAGTCAACGATTTGATTCGCTCCCCACCCGGGCTCATGCCCGTCTTGTTCCTTCATCCTCCCTCGCCGCCTCCCTTCCCTTCAGTCCTCGCGGAAGCCGCCGGCAAGACCCGGTCGCAGGCGACAACAGGCGAGGCGAGGGGCAAGGGTGCTAGGGCCAAGGCAGGGGAGGCGAGGGACAAGGCTGTTCCAACCAACAAGCGGGCGGGACAGCTCCGGTGCGAGCGGATCAACTCCGTCTGGAAAGAAACCTGCCCGCTCGCAGCAGGCGGCAGTGCAGGCGGCTGGCAGCAAGCGGCAGGGGCAGCAGCAGACGATGGGCGTGAAGCAGCACAAGTCGTTTGATGGTCACATGGCGGCGAACGGAACTCGTGTGGCGGGAGGGAAGGGGCACGTGCATGGCACGAGGCACGTGAATGGCACGAGGCTGAAGCGCGGTACTGCAGCTGGTGGTGGTGGTGGTGGTGGTGGTGGTGGGATGCACAAGGTTGGTGGCGGTGCTGGTGGCTGGCGTGGCGGGCGAGGAGGCAGCGTGATTGGTGAGTGGAATCGCATCATCGCACCACTGATGCTGACGTCTTATTGGTCACTTGTGGCTGACGAAGCGGGCGCGTTTCCAATGACTCTGTTATGTTCATTCATTGCTGCAGTGTGTCGCAAGGCGGTGGACTTGACGCCTTGCTTGCTTGCTTTCCCATGGCAGGTGTGGTGGGCGCGCGGATGAGTGGCGAGCAGATGGTGGGGTCAGCAGGCATGGCCAATGCCACGGGCCGCCTGGAGCTGAAGCTTGTCAAGTCAGTGCCGCTCCACGCTCCTTCTCTCCTCTTTCTCTTTTGCACCGCCATGGCTCTGCTTCTCCTTTCACTTGCTTATGAGCCCTCCTCTCTCTGCTCTTGCAACGCCTTCCTCTGCTGTCCACACTCCATCTCAGCCCTCCTGGTTTGGCCCTTCCTCCTCTCCTCACACTAACTCCTTCTCCGCCTTACCCTCCCCTTCCTCCTGTGTTGACCCTCCTGTGTTGACCCTCTCTCTTCTCTCCTCACCCCCCTTCCCCTCCCCTTTCTCCCCAGGACGGCCACTGACATGGACGTGCACTACTCGCTCTCCCTCGCGCACCTCTCCTCGCCCTCCCCTCCCACCGCCGCCTCCATCCACGCAGGCCGCGCCGCCTCCGCCTCTGCCCTGCTGCTGCTCGCCTTCCCCGCCTCCGCCTGGACCAACACCACCCGCCCCTTCCATCGCGCCTCCAACGCCACCGCTGCTGCCCCCCCTGCGGCTGCGCGCTTCAGCTACGGCGCCAGGGGCGTGTGGGGCAACGCGTCGTCCCTCTCCGCCGCTGCGGGCGGCTCTGTGGCTGCGGCTGTGAGCACCATTCTCGCTGCCCCCGCCTCCTTCCACGCTCTCATCGCCACCTCCGCGTTCCCCCAGGGGGCTGTGCGCGGCCAGATGGCCAACATGACCCGCGGAGGGAAGTAGCAGCATGGGGAGAGAAGGGGGCGTGTGGTTGACAGGTGGACTACTGGCAGGGAATGAGAGGTGGGTTGGAACTAGGAGAAAAGGGTATCCGCGGCTGCTGATGTGCACGACATGTTAGAAAGGGGATTCTTGCAATGGGATGTTAGAAGACAGTCTACCATTGCCTCAGCACAGCAGATTCTTACAACATTTGCTAGGACACAGGGAGGAGTAAGGAATGGCATCAGGCAGGAGTTGATGCTTGGGCTTACTTAGGCATTTACTGTAGAATGCACCAGTGGTTGCGGAGATTCTGCTAGTTTGTATGCAATCCATTCAAAAATACTGTGCAGCGAAACCAAGGGCCAATATAGGGTACTGGTACCACAAATTTCACCAGTTCTTATCCCTTGCTGGTGTGATTGTTGTCTGTCGGCTTCAATATTATGGTGGTACCAGACTGACTTTGGCTTCCACAGATTGTACGACTTGCAGAATGTACGACCTTGTGACATAACAATTAACATACCGCAGTAGTGTTTAATGCATCACAAGCTCTAAGATGGCAAGTGAATGTCAGGAATGCAAGTGTTGGTTCATTGATGTGGGGTGGGGTACATATAACAAACCCTAACATCCGTACCCCCTAAGACAAACCTCACTACAGGCTACAACATTTTGTTGGGCTGAGAAAAGCCCTTAGGATCTTTGCAGGGGTGAACTCTGGGTAGGACTGATGTAGTAGCGGAAGCGTTTTAATGAAGAGTTGTGAACCACCTTGCGCTAGTATGTGAGGTCAAAGTAAGTTGATTAAGGCAAAGAGATACAGGATTATATAAGAGTACAAGGAATATGAAGAGATACAGTTGTAACTACTTTACTGTTGCTGTTGCGGTTCGATACAGTGACGACTCGGGCAACTGCTCTGTAGCGAGTCAGTTGTGTTTCCTTGCTGTCGCGTTGTACTTGTCAGGTCAAAGGTCGCTGACCTTTGACTTTCGCGTAACCTCCAGCAGTTACTTCAACCTCCGAGGGTTGACTCGCTGGTGCCTCGATATGCTTCGCTTCGCTTGTGCCTTGGTGTTTCGACACGACAGAGGCGCTTAAGCTTGATTGTTTCCAACACTCCCCTTCGCTTCTGGAGTGTCGCTGTTGGTGACGTGGCTCTGTCCAGTCAGCAGCATGCAGTACTCGAACTTGTGTTTTCCGAGCTTCTTGGTCAAGTAATCAGCTGCCATCTCGGATGTGGGGCAGTATGACATCTCGAGTCTCCCTTTCTTGATCTCGTCTTCACGAAGAAGTATCGCAGGGCGATGTGTTTCGTCCTGTTCGCGAAGCCGTTCTTGTTGGTTTACGCAGAACAGGGTGAAGCTGGGTAACTGAGCTAGCTTCGTTCTTCGAGTAGTTCGCGAAGGTAGAGTCCTTCCTTGGTGGCTGAGCAGAGTGCTATATATTCTGCTTCAGCTGAGGAGAGCGCGATTAACTCCTGTTTGCTCGACTGCCAGGAGATAGGTCCGATGGGTTCGAACCGATAGATGTAGCCGGTGCGCGAGCGTCCTGTTGTCTGAGTCGCCTGCGTGATCAGCGTCGACGTAGCCGATTAGCTTAGGTGTTGTAGTTGCGTTCTTGTGGTAAGTCAGACCGATCGTTGGGGTGCTGATGAGGTAGTGAAGAGCGCGGTCGAGCTCCGCCAGGTGTTCCGTTTCAGGCTTCTTGAGATAGGTGGCGAGCTAGCTTGCGGAGTATGATAGGTCCGGGCGGCAGGTGACAGCTGCGAAATGGAGGCATCCCAGTTTCCTCTGGTAGTCGCGTATGCCGGGGGGCTAGAGTAGATTCTCCCTTGATGTTTCATGTCGTGTAGCAGTCCGGCGTGGAGATGGCGGTCGGTGTGAGTGCGAAGCGCTTGGCGATGGTGTCGCCGTATTTCACGGCGCTGAGATAGATCGCGTCTTCTTCTTCACGGATGTTGAGACCGAGGTACTGTGTGACGGTAGATGAGACCGTGAGCGTGAGGTCCTTCTGCAGCTCCCCTTCGAACCAGGTTGTGATGCTGTCGGTCGAGCCGATGTAGAGTAGGTCGTCTACGTAGACGATTAACAGGATGTAGTCGGTGCCCTTCGTGAGCCGGTACATGCCCTGATCGTGCGGTAGTTGTTTGAAGCCGATGCGAATGAGGCGAGCGTGCAGGTATTGTTGCCATAGTCGCGGAGCTTGCTTGATGCCGTAGAGTGACTTCAGCAGCTGGCAGACTTGATTGGGCTCACCGTTGGAGCCGTGCGGTAATTCGACGAAAATTTCTGCGTCAACAGGTGCGTAGAGGAATGCGTTCGCAACGTCGATTTGCCGCAGCTTCTTCTTCTTCATGGCGGCGATCACGAGGAGGATTCGGAGTGAAGTGTGTCGACTGACCGGAGCGAATGTTTCGGTGAAGTCGCGTCCGTGTTCTTGGTCGAAGCCGCGTACGACCCAGCGAGCTTTAAACTTGTCGATGGTGCCGTCAGCCTTTGTCTTCACACGGAAGACCCACTTCACGGTGAGTACTGTTTTGTTCCGTGCTACGATGATAGGGACGACCTTCCAGGTGTTGCGTTCCTCCACTGCCTTTAGTTCCCTGTCCATGGCTTCGCGCCATTTTTCCTTATGTTCCCCCCCCAGAGCCTGTTGAACTGTCGCAGGCTCTTTTGTCAGAGGTCCACTGGTGATCCCCGATTGATCCTAGAGAAGGGTTACAGGCACGTTGGCCTGGGGGGTTATGGGCGCACGGACCCGCTAATTAACAAGCCCTTTTATCCCAATGGTCTAGTGGTTGGGATTCTGACATGGCATCAGAGCGAAGGTCTCGGGTTCGAATCCCGGTGTATGCACTTCGGGCATCCCAGTGCGGGGGGGTGTCAGAGGTCCACTGGTGATCCCCGATTGATCCTAGAGAAGGGTTACAGGCACGTTGGCCTGGGGGGTTATGGGCGCACGGACCCGCTACTTAACAAGCCCTTCTATCCCAATGGTCTAGTGGTTGGGATTCTGACATCTTTAGGAATGGCTGCGCCGTGAACTGCGGTGACGAGGCCAAGAATTTGGAGTCCACTCTGTGTGTAGCGGGGGAGTGAAGTGTCCGCGGGATAAACAGCTTCGTCTCCCGCTTCTGGATCAGGTGCGAAATTGGGTCCTATGCGTTCTGCTTCGTCGGGTGTTGACTTGTGCAGGTGTAACGTAACCGTTGTCAGCGAAGTGGTAATAGGTTTCGGCGTTGATGCTTTCGCGTGGGTTTTCGTCGTCCATTGGCACGTCGACGGAGCAGTAGGGGAGGGGTCCGGCTTCTTCCGAGGCTCCTTCCACGTTCGGCTCGTCCCAGTCAGCTTCGTCATCTGCCGAGGCGAAGGCTCGGGTGCCTTGAAAACCATCGGAGCAATCGAGGTTTCCTTCTTGCAAGTTGGCAAGGTAATACCGGAGGGTGAGGTTTTCGTAGAAGATGACATCACGTGCTGCTACTGTTTCCTTTGTCTCGACGTCGAAAATCTTACATGCATTGCAGTGTTTTTCGATGCCCAGTTGTAGTCCCCACTGTGCGCGTTGTGAGAATTGGCCAGCTCGTGCATATGGAGGCCGGTACTGTACCATGCAGCCGAAGACCCTTAACATTTTTGTGCTGCCCAGTTTTCTTGTCCACAGCAGATGCGGTGATGCGTTGTTCCACTTGGGTTATGGTGAGACGCGAACGGTTGATGCGGTAAGTCAGCTTCGGGACAGGTGAAGCATGTTCCACGGGCTTGCTGAAGTTCTCTGCCGTCAGTTAGGAGTAGAGAGTCTTTATCGAGCACGCCTGCTCTTATCGTGTTGTTTAACACTGTGTTGCTTGGGTGTCCCATTCTTGCGTGCTAGGTTCCTTCGGTTGCACGATGTCCGGGTGAGCGCCGATACATATCGGAGTTGGAATAGAAGCTGGCGGTGAAGTTGGCGCTTCGATGAACTTCTCGTGGTGCTGGGTGCAGTTGTTGCGCGACTATCGGTGGTGTGTCGTCGACGAGGAGTGGTGCCGTTGAAGGACCAGCGACTGGTGTTGACGCTCATGCTGCTGCCGTTGATGTCTCTGCTGCTGCCGATGTTGTCTCTACTGTTGCCGATGTCGTCTCTGCTGTTGTCTCTGCTGTTGTCTCTGTGTCAAATTATAATGTTGTCTAGGCTTTAGTGGGGTAGCCCATATGGGGTACACATTTCTAGGGTTGCATATTTGTATCACTTTCATTCCATAGTCATCTCATTCTCATTCTAATTTCCTCATGGTATCGAGCAGGTTCCCTCGTGGGAACTGTGCCTAGGGCCCACTGTTGGTGCAAGCCTATGGTTTGCACTCGGCTTGTTGTCCGTGTGCATGCATGTGTGTGTGTATGGAATGGTATGAGGGCATGGGATAATATATATTTCATGCTTATAATTGTGTGTGAATGTTGAGTCATGATGTCGAGTGTGTGTGTTGAGTCAATAGCGAGTTATCGCTAGACGCGTGTTACGCGGTCGTTTGTGTCTCGCGCGCGGTTTCTATTTTGTCGTGCGCGGTTTCTATTTTGTCCTGTGTCGAACGTTCGGTGTGTCGCAGGTGTGTGCAGCAGACCCTCAAGTGATTTCGAAGCTCGCCAAAAGGGTACACCTCAAGATATTGAAGATAGTTACATTACTTTGTGTAGTGTAACATTTGACTTGGTGTAGGCCCTAGTGAAGGGTAGTTTCGAGACTCTTCGTGGTTGGGGACAGTGTGGCACTGTTCCACATCACTGTACCTCGGCTCTTGGGGTTTGTAGGAGCTGGGAGTCATTCCCAACTCGTAACTCTTCCTAACTCTTCCTATCTTGTGTTCTAAGACTATGTTGCAGCCATAGTGCTGTTCGTTCAAACCGACGCTGTGTCGTCAATACTTGGTCAAATCGTGCGATCTAAATTGCCTAGTGTAGGCGAGAATAAGACGCTCCAGATCCAAGTTGAATCAAGTCATTTGATGATGTGACCAGAACGCTATGAACGTTTGA